TTCAGATTTTCCGTTTCTTCTAGTTTCATCGTGATTTCTGCTTGTTCTAATTTGTCTACTAGTTTTCGAAAATCTAAATCGGGTTCTCGAATTGAAGAAGGATGTGATGCTCTCTTTTTTATTGCTATTTTCCTTAATTGTGGTGTTAAGGTCATCATTAAGATTTCTGTATTCTTTGTGTTTTTATAGTCATGTGTATTTAATGAATATGCTTTTCGAACTAGTGTTTCGATTCGTACTGCTATTTGCTTGATGGTTTCGTTTGGTAATCTGCGAATTTCATTACATAAAACTCTTTGTTGTTGTTTGTTTCTTTCGGAGTCAAACATTTTTGAAAATTCTTGTGTAAATCTTTTCCAGTTTGATTTTATTTCTAGAGGTAGTACTGAAAACCATTTTTGGGCTGCGCCATCTAAGGTTGTTTGTATTAACGCTGTGCGTCGATGTATCCAATTTTGATGTAGTGGCGTATTAATTGGTTCAGGTCCAATATTTAAAATCAGGTTTGCTGTTACTGCATTTAAATAATCTTCTACAGAGTATTCAGGGTCTGTTCCTGTGAAAACCATTAAAGGTTTGTTTGATGTTATTGATGATCCACCCATAAGGTATGGATTCATTGTCATTTGTAATGATTCTGCTGCATTTGGCATTTGAGAAAAATTTGAAAGTTGGTTTCTTGTTATCTCATGTTGTTGGAGATAATATGGGAGTGGTATTTCATTTTGCATTTGTGATGGTTGATACGAGTGTGCAGTCATTGGATTTTGTTGTTGAATTTGTTGAAAAGATTGTGTATTAATTGGATTTTGTTGTTGAATTGGTTGTTGATTTTTTGCATCTATTGGTTGTGGAGAAAAATTTCTATGATTTGTACGTGTTCTCTGTATTCCTTGTCTACGATATTCTTGAGTATTTTGTGCAAATATATCTGGTTGTAAGAAATCATCATCTGAGGATAAATAATCCATTTGATAAGATGTCTGTTTTTTATTTTTATTTTGTTGAAAAAATGGGTAATTTTCACTGTGATCCCGTGGAGGATTTGTTTGGAAATTTGTTGAATTAGGTTGGGCCATTGGGTTATCCCAATTTCGAGATCTTGTATATTGGTTAAAATTTCTTTGTGGTTGATTATATGTTTTTGATGGATGTGTATAATTATAATTATGGTCTGCAAAGTTGTTTCTAGTAAATGTTTTGCGTGTTTTTGGTGGTATTGTCATGGGTCTGTATGTTTGGTAATCCATATGTGAATATTTAGGGGCAACCGAAGGTTTAACGGTTGATTGTAAGGTTACCTGTGTTTGTGAAGGATTTGTATTTCTTGGTGTTGTTAAATTTGGGCGTATTGGTGAAATACTTTGTTGTGTAGTTGTTGTGTGTACAATTTCTTCATTTATGAAGTGTGATGGTGTCTGGATATCTTGTTGAGTAAGATTCCTAGTTCCATTGAGGTTTTCATTGTGTATAACTGTAGAGTTTAAACTATTATTTTGTGTATCGGGTAAAAATGTATTATAGTTTAATGGTGTTGCATCAATTGTTAATGGTATTACTCTTACATAATCTCTTATGTAAGATATTGTACCTATTGCTTGACTTGAGATTGATTGTGGAAAGCTTATAAATGCGGGATGAGACCATTCGGGGTCCCAAACATAATCTGATTGTTCTGTGATAGCGGTATCATCGTTCGAATTTTGGGGTCTAAAATTTTTTCTTGCTTGTGCAATTAAATCAATATTGTGTGTGAAGTAATCTATTATGAACCATGCCAAAATTTTTTGTAGATCGTGTTTTGTATGTTGTGAAACGTCGTCTTTCGTGAAATTTTCTTTAATGATGTTTAAATAACTAGAGAGTAGTGTGATTTCATGTCGTACTTTCAAATGTTTAGATGTTTCTTTTGGTGAGACATTTGTTATTGGGATTTCGTTTTCTAATATCGAAATATAACTATATATTATTGCGAAAACTTCATTGGTGAATATGGAGTTTGCTCTTTGTGAGTTTTGATATTGGATGCTTTTTATATATTCTGAAAAAACTTTTGAAAATTCTAAATCAAGATCGTCTGTTTGAATTGTATATTTTCTATTATTATGGTTTGGTGAGGTGAATTCTATGGAGTAGATTCCATACTGTTGTGTTATGTTGCATATATCTTTTAGATAGTGATCTATGATTTGTCTTTTGATTTTTACATCGGGGAACTCTGTTTTACATGGACTGATTCCGGGTTCAAATAAATTTACGAGTAAATTTTGACAAAATATGTGTTGTCCTCTATCAGTATCTGCGTCTACTATAAAAGGAAAGATTTCATCATCATCTGGAGTTTCTTCACCTGGGGTGTGCGTTGAACTCATTTTTTCGTTCGATTACTGTTAATATGTAATTATTAATGTGTCGAATTGGTTGATTCCAATTGTATAAATGTACTGGTTTGTGTTTGTACTGCTTTTTTATTCTTCTTTTTCCTCTTTGTGATGAATTTGAAGTTGTTTCTGAGTCAGAGAAATATAATTGATCGTGAATTGGGCAATTTTTATCTATTGATTCTTTAAGTTTGTAAAGTTCGTCTAAACTGTTGGTTTCTGATTCTGAAAATGCGTTTCGATTTTTTGAAAATCTTTTTCGTGTTATTTGTCTTTGTTTCGTTATTATTTTTCTTTTTAGTGTTTGTCGTTTTGTTCGAATGTATCCAACTGTTTGTGTATGAGGTGTGATTACAAGGTCGTATTTTTTGTTATCTATTTCACAATTGTGTAAAACGATTGTTTGTTTATTTCCTAGGTTTTTAAATGACATAAGGTTTAGAATGACGGATGCAAAGGGTTGTTAAATGATTTCTATTTTCCTAAACTGTTAGTTCTTACGATTTTTTGGTTAGCTTAACCTGGGTCTGTTTGTTCAGGGTTGGAGAGAAAAGTATATCGATTCCGAAGAATGATTTTTTACTTTCTCGTGGCTAGTATAAGTTAAGGTGTTAACTTACTTAATCTTACTTAGGGGTAGTGATTGTGTTCAAGGGTTGGAGAATAGTAAATCGATCCACAAGGTTCAGGTATAATTAGAACGCGAGTAGTTCGTTAGATACTATTTTAAACTTACTAAGTCTAAGATTTATCCTGGGTCTGGTAAGAGGGGGGGGGTCAAGTGAAGGATGAATAACCGAAGTTCTTCACTGTTTATCCTAATTTGAATGATTAGTTTTGTTTAAAAATTTCTATTAGTCTTAGGTCTTTAGAAAGGGTTGGGTAGTGAATCGACGTTTGAGGTCGTTAGACACTAATTAAGTGGGTGGGGGAGAACAAAGTTGTTCTGTTTGATCCAAGGATAAGCCTTGATGATCAAATTTGAAATTTAATTAAGTAGAAAATGATTTAAGATCCAAGGATAAGCCTTGATGATCTGGTTTTAAAATTAAGTGAATTTAAGTTTTAATAAAATTTTAAATGTGTGTAAAGGAAAGATTTAGTGTTTTGATGATATTAGTGGGTTTATGATTGCTGTTATGTTTTAGATGATGAAGCTGGAACAACAGGATGATTTATGATTACTAACCATTTATTGTCATGCTACTAATTTTTATTTTTATTTTCCAATAAATATTTTTCAAACATGTTTTGTATAATACTGCAGAGTTTTAGGAAAACGATCTTAGATCTTTTTATCAATCGTTATTGTATATTAATAAATTTGTTTAGCGCCTGAAATGATTTTGAAGAGTAACTTCAAGGTTTTATGTTTGCAAATGGAAATCTAAATTCATTGCAAGTAGTATTCGAAATATAAAAGTTTGTTCTGGCTTTTGCCGAACTATCATATAACTATACGGCAAGTTTCTACTTTGTCGTATGTCGTCTTTGGTTCGAGGTCTTCTTCCAATTCCGGGTAGTTCTGTTATGGTTCGGAATATTGGCTCTGATCTATTGAGTCGTAGAGACATTTCGATTAAATTATTGTCGTATAACATTTTGTAAATGTTTTTGTCTAATTTCTAATCTATTTTGGTTAATTCTAATCTATTAAGGTCTTGTTCGAGACTTATGGTCGCACCAGATGAGTTAGGACCGAAGTGTAACTCATAGAGTAATTTCGGATAGGGTACACCGTCTGCTCGTCACGCTATCTTATTTTCGGCCGGATAGATTCGTGCAACTTCTTAGTCTAATACCGATCCTAATCTTACTCTTATACTATCTAGTCTCAGGTTGTTTAACTAGTCTCTGCTAGGCTCAATAGATCTAGGGTATACTGGTTTATTGCGGCTGCTGAAGTGCTCGGGAGAGTTCAACTAATTTCTAAGTTAAATTCAAATCTCTCTGGTGCTGAAATTACAAGTAACTTCAGCACTTACAAATAAGTGGGTTGTTAGTTAGATGGATCATGATTGGTTAATATTAAATACTTTACATTGGTAAAACATTTAATTTATCCAATCATAAAATGTAGTTTAGATCAGGTTCCACTACATATTGGTATATCATTTTGCTTTAAGACAAAATGTTTTTTTTTCTAGAAAAGTTTGTCATGAAACAAATTAATATACCAACGTCTAGCCATGAAATCTGTCCAGATCTTCATAAATAAAAACAGTCATATTCTCGTATTCATTTTCATTTCAAATTTTTTTAAAGCTTAACATAGAATCCTATTTATTAAAGAGAATTGTATGACAACTATTTCTCATGGAAAAGTTGTACGGAATTGTTTGATGGATATGTTAAAACCCCCTTTGCATAAGTGAGAGATTTGTAACAGAATCGGTACAAAACTCACATATCCTTAAGCGTTAAATCAAACTTTATGGGGGGGGGGGGTAGATTTGTTACCAGGTATCATAGGGGAGAAATAATTAAAGAAATCCTGTATGGCAATAGCATTTTGGATGTATGGATGTCCCATGTGTACGTTTTTTTGAGCGGCGTTAAAACCTCAATTGAGAACCCCCACAATAACAACGCCCAAAAGCATCAAATTTTCAAAATTAGGGTGGCCCAACGAGCAGAAATTTGTAAATCGAATATGAACGTCAGAAATATTGTCGAATTCTGTGTGTTGGCTTAAATACATTGAATGTATTTGAACAAAGTGACAAGCGTTAGGCTCAAAATCTCTTGGTAATATTTGAACTAGCTTCACTGTTCACCCCTTTATCTGTCAAAATTGCAGGTCAATTCATAGTGCGAGGTTTCTTTCTCTTCGATACAAAGCGCCATTTCCAAACTCAACACCGACTTACCATCTAAATAAAACGATATACAATACTTCGCCTTTTGTTACCATTTACGGTGGCTGAATTTAAATACTGCTCGAATACTCAATCTTAATTTTCACTTATTCATGCGTTCATGTGGTAAAAGAGGACAATACAATCTATACCTTTTGATTTTACACTATTCCTCTTTATATTAGTTAATCCACGTTAGAGCAGTTTTATCTCTCCTTTTCCTTATGTTGTTGAAAAAATGCACAGCTACTGTTAGATTTTTGCTTAGAGTTATTGTTCCATTGGTGGTATTATTGGCTGTATTATGTGGCGGAGTCAAAAGCACCAACAAAATTTACTGTGAATACGAGTGAGTAAAAATCCGCTTGTGCGACCGAAACCGTAAGAAAATGTGCAGCTCCTAAAGTCCTCAACGGAGCTCTCTAATTGCTTCCCCCTTTGGTACCTAGTAACGAGTTACGACGCCTATAAAAACTCATTCGACAATTTACGCACTTAAAATACACGCTTTTCGACAACTTAGTTGAGGTCGGAACCTTCTGAGTTAATTCCAGAGCAACCTTTATTGCATGTGAAGTCAGTCTATGGCATATCCTTTAAGCAATCAGCTGACCGCTTTTGTCTATTTTTCAGATTATACATTTTTTGTAATTATAAATCTAAATACATGACAGTTATTTAATCCAAAAAAATTGCTGCTTTGAAGTGAGTTTAGGTCCTGGGTGGCCTTCTCATAGAGTAATTTCGGATAAGGTACACCGTCTGTTCGTCACGCTATCTTAATTTCGGCCGGATAGATTCGTTCAACTTCTTAGTCTTATACCAATCCTAATCTTATTCTTATATTTCTTAGTCTCAATCGATCTAGTATGTACTGGTATTCTTGTGAGATTAGAGGAGAGATTGAGGCAACTGATTTCTAAGCTTTAAAAAATTTCCTTTAGCTGCAACTCTGAATAGTTTCAAAATTTATTATAAGTTGTAGTAAAATATCATGATTGCTTAGTTCTAAATATTTTACTGTGATAAGTTTTGAGGTATATAAAAATTACTTTAAATACTTGTTTTGATCTGGTTCCAGCCATCCGGGTTTTAGGAAGTTTTTTTTGAATCAAAGTTTTTCTTGCGAGGGATCGATGGAGTGCCTTCTAGATTTTTTGCAGAGAGTGTTGATTGATTAAGTCAGTGAAAATTTGTGATAATATTGACGGAGATTCAGATAAGGTTGTGAATCAAAAGGATCGTATTGAAGTTGCAGGTTTGTGCCAATGGAGTGTCGATTTCGTAAGTTTGAGTGAGGCTGCGTGCATTCTCAACTATTCGTTCGTATCGATCAAATAGCGAGATAGGGTTTGAACTCTCTGAGTGAAACGCCAAGTTACAAAGACTCGTATGTTTGAGTTTCAATACTGAGTTGACCATTGATCTTTTTCAATAGATATCTTAGCTTTGATATTGGCTCCAAACTCTTTATCCTGCGAGGGTGATGACTGCAGCAAGCAAAAAAATATATAATGTTTGCCAATCCAATAGTCGGAATATTGTTAATTTCTCATCTACCTACTGCTGCTCGCTTCTTTTGCTCTGTGAAATCCTTACATTAAAAACATATGCGCTTTTAGTGATTCAGTTTGAGTATGACCTCATTAGTTTTTGCTGCTGAAGCGTTTGATTTAGCTTGTTTATTTTAAAAATTTGTTCACCCATTGTCTGCTTGGAAATTTGTGCTTGTTAAAATAATTGAGGGGTTGTGTCTAAGTGTGATTCTGGCTCGGTTTGTGAAACCAGCTGTACACTACATGATCAGGACGTTCATCACCGGTGAGTAGAGTCTCTACTTGCTAATAACCTTTTCTGTTTTTTCTGTCAGGCGTTTTGTCTTTTGTTTCTGTGGTTATTTTGGTTTATCTTGTTGTTTTTTCCTGTGTCCGTATCTTCTACAAATTTCACACCAATTTTTAAATGAGAGTTTATCTTTTAAATTCGGGTTCTTATAAATTAATTTTTTTTGTGTATTGATTTCTGCTAATTCATTATCTGACTCTTTTATGTTATATATATATATATATATATATATATATATATATATATATATATATATATATGCGAGGTAGTTGTTTGAATGTTAGAAACATTTTGTAATTTTATTTTTTTATTCTTCTAGATTTATTGTGATTTCTGCTTGTTCAGTTTTTGAAAACCTATATCGCTTTCACCAAATGACGAGAGATGTGGGCTCTTTTCTTTTTCGCTTTTTTACTCAATTGTGGTAAAAAGGTCATCATTAAAATTTCGGTCAGTTTCATTTTTAATAATCATGTCTATTAATGCAATATACTTTTCGTACTAGTGTTTCTAATCTTACCGCAAAAGTCGGCAAACTGATTTGATTTCTGTTGGTAAGACTGAAAACCATTTTTGAGCTGCTCCGTCGAGTGTGATTTGTAGCTCTGTGATTTGATAAGTCTGTGAACCCAATTTTGAGGTGCGTTAATAAGTTCTGTTCAGAAGTTTGTTAATAGGTTCTGGGACTAAACTTGAACTTAATTTGCTGTAACAGCGTTTAAACAATCATCGACTGAATATTCAGGATCTGTTCCTGTGAAAACAATTATTGGTTTGTTTGATGCGATGGATGTGATGTTAGGTTTATGGGTAAGTTCTTTTTAAATGGTTTCGGCTAATTTCATGTTGTTAGAGTTATTATGGCAATGATATTTCATCTCTCTTTGTCCCTGGTTGGTCACCTTGAGTACGCATTGGGTATTGCATTTGTGTATTACGATTTGGTGGTGTAAAATTTGATTTCTTGACGAATTTATTTTTTTTGTGGTTGAATTTTTGGTGGGTCTAACTATGGTTTGAAAAATCTGGTTAGAGAAGATCATCTGGCTTATTAATTTTGTTCCATTGATTTTTCCTTTGATTATAAATATGTTGTTTTTGTTATCTTTGATGGAAAATATCTTCATCGTCTGAGAAATGTAGCTGATTTTTGTTACTGAAATGTCCGTAGGTTGGATTGAGTTCGTTTCGTTGAAAATATGGATAGCTTTCAGTGTGATCTGTTTAAGTTTTTCTTTTATCATGGAAGCTAACTGAATAGAGATTTGTAGTTTTGGCAGTTGCTGATTATAGTTGTCATCAAGAGATTGATTTTGCTTTATTTGAATTGGGTGAGCTGTGTCGTGACTAATATTACTATTTGCAAAAAAGTTAGTCAGGGTTTGCAAACTAGTTTCCATTTTGTTTTTCAGTCTAGTAAAAGACCCCCTTTTAGTTAACAATCAGTATTTTTGTTATCCTATTGCCAGTATTTAAGAAAAACAGTTGGTTTAGCTGTTGATTGTATGTTTTTTTTTGGGGAATTGGGGTGTAATTCTTTTTTATGTGGGGTTGTGCTTGTTGGGTGAATAGTGATATACTTTGTTTTGTTGTTACTGGTAGTAAAAAGAAACTATTTTGTCGATAGTAAAAAGCGATGGTGTTTGAATATCTTGTTGGTTTAGCGTTGTTGTTCCAGCCAGGAGTTTAGAATGTTCGAACTTAGACTATTGAACATCGACTATTGTCAATTGTCCTATCGTAAAATTTTGTTTAGTAATTGACTTTAAACTAATGTCAAATGTATTTGTATTGTAGTTCAATGGCGTTGTATCTGTTGTTAATGAAATGACCTTAGATAGTTTTTATATACTGAAATGTTTTGAACTGCTGATCTTGAAATATCAATTGATATGTCAAGAAACTTATCTTGGCACCATTCAAGGTCCCATACATAATCCATTTCTTCTGCCAAATATGTGCTTTTGTCACAGAGTCTACAAAATTTTTCTCTAGATTATTCAGTTAGGTCTAGGTTATGGTCAAAATTATCTAGTATAAAACATGCTAGTATGATTTGTAAGTCAGCTTTTATTATTAGTAAAATTTTTGCTAACTGCTTTTTAAAATTGTTAGATGAGATTTATGTCTGAATGTCTGAATGTCAAGATGTTTGGGGTTAGGATACAACAAACGTTTCATCTGTATCTAATATGGAGATATAACTATTGATGATTGAAAAAAAAACATCATTTGTAAGTATTGAGTCTACTCAATGTGAAAATTTATGTTGTATATTTTCAATATACTGAATAAAATTCTTGAGAAACTTAATTCTATAACATCTGTTTGTGTTTTTTGTGGTTGTTTTATCTAAATCTGTTGATAGAGTTTTAATAGTGAAATTACCATTTTCTGAGATTTCATTATATTTGCTAGGTAGATCAGATAAAAATCGTTGCTCGTTGACTTGTTTGTTTTGATCATTTTTGTGATTTTGCTATTTTATCTGGTTGTTGGCTGCTTTTGAAAGTGCGTTTCCTTTCTTAGAAATATTATTTTTCAAGATTTCGGTTTGACTGGAAATAATTGTCTTTTTTGGTTGCTTTTTCAATCGCTTGTATCCTATTTTTTGTTTGTTTCGCGTTATGACAAGATCGTATCTAGAGGCTTGATTAAACAATTATGAATAACTATTGTTTGTTTGTTAAGCTATCTCTTGACTTAACTGTTAGAATGATTGATTCAAAATGCAGTTATTGATTGCTATTTCCTAAACCGTTAATTCTTACTCTTTTTGAGCCCTCGGGTCGTATTGTTGTGGCAAGACGGGTTGGGGAGAGTATATCAATTCGATAGACTGATGTTTTTACTGCTCTCAAACGTTTGTGGCGTTTTTTTTTTACAATTAAATAGTGTTAACCTTATTTAGATGTGGATTGAAACGAGATTGGGGGTTGCAGATTAGTAGGTCAATCAACAAGGTTCAGGTTTAGTTAGAATACCATTAGGTCGTTAGATACTATTTTAGAGCCTACTAATTCTAAGTGCTTTTATAAGCCTGGGTCAATCAAGAGGTAGGGGTGAAGTGAAGGATCAGTAACCAATGTTCTTCACCTTTTAGCTTAACTTAAAAAGTGAATTCTTAGTGAAAATTCCTCAGATTGTCCTGGATCTTATGAGAAGTTTGTAGACAGACTGAGTCGGTGTTTTGAGCCGTTAGACGCTTATTTTAAGGGGGAACTTTGCATTTGAAAGAGAAAATTTAGGAGATCCAAGGGAAGCCTTGATGATTTGTTTTTAAAAAATCTAAGTAGGAAGGTTTTTTATTAAAATTTTTAAAATTATACACGGAGAAGCGCTGATAATCTGATTTGGGAATTTAGTTATAGAGTTTGAAGTTAATAAGGAAAAGCCTTAGTTATCATATAAATGAAGTAGAATTACTGTATTAAAAAAAGGTTAAAGATCCAAAAAACGTCTTGATGATCTTGTTCCTGATTAAGTGACAAATTAATTGTTTTGTTGATTTAAAGAAGAAATATAAGAACAGATGATGGTTCTCGAGAAGAACGAAAAATCGCCGAACAAACAACAATTAGTTTTTATACCAACTTTAGTATTTTTTTTCTTAAATTTTTAACTTGACATAAAAGATTTTAGAAAAACTCACTGTAGATTTAAACTTGGAAGGCAGGCAAAGTTTTTGTCGAAGTTTTGATGTTTTTAACTTTAGCTTTAGTTATTGTTTGTTATTCAAAATACATCGCTTCTTATGTCAATTTTATGGCTCTACTTAATGCAGTTTATATTCTAATTACGAAGATATACTGCACCAATAGTTTTGAAACTTCGCCGTCGTCTGTATTTTCTTTGTGATGCAAATAGTTGGTTTATCGTTTTTGTGTAATCTGGTTTCGTCTTTAGTTTTGGCTCTGCTTGATTAGATTCATTGAGACGTGGAAATAAGCAAATTGTATTAATGATTTAAATCAACATTCTTTTGATCTTGTCTAATTTTAGATTTTTTTAAAAATCAAAATTAGTATTAGGTCTGCTCGAGTCTCATTGGCCGAAGCATATAAAATTAGATCCAGGGTGGCCTTCTCATTCAGTAATATTGGATAAGATGCACCTTCTGTTCGTCAAGCTAGCTTTTTTTTGGCCGGATAGATTCGTGCAACTTCTTAGTCCAAACCAATCCTAATCTTACTCCTATGTTTCCTCATCACAATAGATCAAGTATATGCTGGTATTCTTGCGAGGTTGGAGCAGAAAGAGAGGCAACTGATTTCTAAGCTGTTTTAATTATCAATTCTCTGGCATAAACTAAGTGATAAATATTAAGTTATATATAAAAACTTTAAATACTTGTTTTGAGCTGGTTTCAGAAGTCCTTCTACTCAGTTTTTGAACACGATAGTTTGAACAAGCTAACGTATGAGTTTATTTTTTTTGCTTATTATTTTTTGGAAGAGTTTTTGGGGAGTGAAACAGCAGTCTGACCATTCAGAAACCTGCTTCAGGATAGAACTAACAATACAAACTGTCTCCAATCTAGGTTTACCAAATCTATTTCATATATAAATTTTGAAAAAAAAAGACCAAAAAGGCGCGCGCTCCCTCCTCAAAGTTAGTGTAAATTGGCGCCAAATGCGCCTTTAGAAAGTTTTATGGTCCGTTACCAAAAAAGGATATCTCAAAATAGTACAAAAGGGGGTCGGCAGGGGGTCGAATCCCTGGGGAGGAGCCTCCCACCGCTCCCCCCCCCCCTAAATCCGCCCCTGCTTTCAATGCTTAATGACTTCAAGGTTGATAGCATCTGTGGATTTTGAAAATCTGCGCTAGGGGTGCGCAAATTATCAAAACTTGTCAAATTAATTGCAATTTCTATTTAGGTATGAAGGTTGTGCGTTCCAGGAAAGCGACGACGGAAGCAAAACATGTTTATGTAAGTGAATTTGACAACCGCAGTTCATTTTTCAGACCATTCGAAGTTCATGAAAGGACAACATGCATTTTTAAATTCAATAGCTGTAGCTAAATGGAGATATTTGAGTTTTTCTAGGTTCTTGTTCTAAACCTTGTCAGAACGACGGCGAGTGTTTTACGCCCAATGAGTGTCGATGCAAACCGGGCTACCTAGGAGACGACTGTTCAGAGAGTAAGTTGAACTACAAAAGCCTTAAACTTCTCCGAACAAAAGATAATCCATGACAGCGGCCTGTATACAAAAATTTTGAGACGGTGTAGGGATGGTGTTTGAACAAACTTGTCAGCAATTTTTTAGATCAACAATTCAGAAAACTTTACCCTAGATTCCGGGTAAAATTTTACCCTAAAATTTTACCCAATAATTCACTGCTGAAACCCTAGAAAGACTGACTATATTAGGTTACATTTTCTGAGCACTGATAGTGATATATGGCCCTATTATAATTGTTCTTCCCCAATGCCATTTTACTTTATAATTTGAAAATAAACTTTTTGAAAATCTATATTCTATATCTCTGATCAGCCCGAGCGTGATACCGAATTTCACATCCGCTATCTCATAGCGATTTGATTGCTTATGAACGTCATTTCAGCTATGATCAAAGCTAAGAGTAACGGCGGGTAATTTAGCATAAAATCAATGGATAATTTTCCTTATAGGGTGATATGGCATAAATTTAGTCAGAACAGTGCCAAATGTGCTCTCACCGTCTTTTCAAAATTTTAAATGATTATTAAATATATGTTTGAGCTTCCATGCATTCCTGGCGAGAAAAAAATCCAAGTGTGGCTGGTTCATGTTTTAAAACGAGCTATCAGTTAACAGGACGCGACCATTGTTTTTCTCAGTACAAGATGAACTGCTATATGATTGGTCAAATAGTGGTTTTCATTTAGGCTGTGCGAAAGGAAGATGGGGCAAAGATTGCATGAACTCGTGCTCCTGCTCGAACGGGGAATGTCATCCCGAAAACGGAGTTTGTACCTGCGACCCCGGATACACTGGACCTGCCTGTGCAGATAAATGTGAGCATGGGCGATATGGCGAAGGCTGTTCACAGAATTGTCCGAACTCTTGTTCAGGTGTGAAAGATGCTGACGTCAGCTCTCAGATTTGCGATCACGTGACCGGCCAGTGCTCGTGTCTTCCTGGAAAATATGGAACAATGTAAGCAATCAATTTTTCCAAAAGAAATCCCCAATTAATTCCAATCAAATTCATTCGGATAACTGATAACTGGAACGATAACTGATAACGTATCGTTCGAAAAAAAAAACAGGTTTCAAACTTAGTTGATGCTTGTTGAATATTTGGGTTGTTCGGTTGGGTTGCTGGGTTTGTTAATTGGAGTAGTAGTTGGGTTGTTAATTGGTTAAATATTAAATTAAGTATGTTGATGATTCGTTTATTGACGGTTTTCATCATTCTATTTCAGATGTGAACACAAATGCCAAACCGTAGACGATGACATTCTGTGCAAATCAAACCCCTGTGAATGTAAGAACGGAGGAAACTGTACCGAACATAACATGTGCTTATGTCCACCTGGAACTATGGTGAGTTCAGCACTTCTTTACCATCTGATTTTGAATGAAATAGTGTGTCATGGCAAAATTTCACTGCAGGCGAGAACTCGTCGCAAATGAAAATCAGTCACGGTCAGTAGTAGTGTTAAAAAATGACGCAAATTTCAAATAAAAAAATTTAAAAACAATTGAAAATTTTTTTGAAAACCATTCCCCACACGCTGTGTAAAAGTATGCAAAGTATGCAAAGTAAAAAAACGAAAAGCGTGCCTCAGTTGGGAAAGATGTCAAAGAGGGATTATACTTCCATTTGCGCGTTAAAAGCACGAAATATAACGCGCTTTATTTATTCCCAATTCGCCGAACTGACAGTCTCTAAACTTTCATCACCTTGAGCTCAAATTTTCAATACTTTTTGTATGATATAATAAAATTCCGTCAAAATGGCTAGTAAAAAAAAAATTAAAAACGCCCAAAGTCTAGAAAAATCAAAACGAATAAAGGTACATTGTTATTTAAAAAATATGCCAAGACAACACCATGAAAAATCAACATCGGGAAAAAATTTACCACCAAGTGGTAAAAAAAGAAAACCTTCAAACCGAAAAAACTCAAAACACACATAAAAACTAATAAAAATGTTCAAGTCTCCCTTACCCTCAAAACACACACACACACACACACACACACGCACAGGTCATCAAAAACGCAATATGAGACCAGTAAGCCATTCTAAAACAGGCCGAGACCTATTAGACCAAAAACATTAGTTGCTTAAATTACAAATTTTAGCTTAAACAAACAAGTTTCGAATCGGAAGATATCGAAAACGATAATATGCTCCAAATATGTCTGTAGCGACATTTCTAACAGAATCTAGTCAAATCCCATGAACACTTTATTAAGGAAAAAGTCTAGTACCCGGTGAAAACACACTTGCTACCGCAAATTTATAACCTCAAAATAATAATAATATAATCATAATAAATTGTTTGCAAATTAAATTCCATTCATTGTAAAGGTTACTACATTTACAAACAAACGAAATCACATTGCGAGAACGCCGTGGAACTATGCAGCCCATTTTCAGGCGCCTCTGATCCTGCTATGACATCTGATTTTTTTAAATATCGATAGTTAATCAAGAAATCAAAAAAAAAAGATTTAATGCTTTAAAGAAGAAAAAAGTTTTTGAAGCGAAAAAAGGGGAAAATTTCAGCACTATACCTACCCTTGACAGCAAATCTTTTTTTTAAATAGTAATTCTACTCAAAAATGAGTTTAAACAATTGATAATTTCCTGGAATAAAATTGTCCAAAAACTCATGGTTGAAGATTTGTAATTGATATTGTGTGCAACTCTGAATCTTAGTTACAAAATCTGGGTAGTGTTTTGAACGAAGTTAAAAGTTTTCTAATTCTAACGTTTACAGAAGTTTTTTGATTACCCTTTGATTGCACAGGTATCTGCCTAGCTAAAACTCTCTTATTCAAAATTGTATTCAAATTTTTCTCAGTTACAGCTCCTGGACAAAGGCCGATATGCACTCTTTTCTCAAAACCTTACATAGTTACTTTAATAATTCATATATATGTAATTCCTTTACGAAGTATATTTTGCGTTTTTGTCTCAGTTCTTCGATGCTTTCGTTTCTTCTCTTAAAACAAATAATTTTTAGAAGCCGTTTAATTTAAGTTCAATTGTTTCTAATTTCGTTTTGTCTGTTGACGCATAAGCCAAAACCCCGTACTATAAAATGGGTTTCACATAAGCGTTATATGCTTTCAATAGTTGATCTTTACCTAAAACTTTCCTCAACCTGTAATACATCTAGATTTTGCCTTGGAGTTATATTTTGGGTCAACCGTACACTTGAATCCTGAAGCAATCTATTCGATAAGTTTCCAACTGGTTATTTTTTGTTTTTGAAAATTGATTTTGTAATAAAACTGTGTTTCGGACAAGCGCGCAGAAATGTATCACTTGAAAAAATTTTGTATTTAGAAGGACTATTTCATGCTGTTTTTGTTCCGACTTTCCTAACGAAAGTAACGGAATATTTGTGCGCGGGGCTCGGGTGGACTTTTTTCTTCAGACAAATTTCGACTTTTTAACTAGCCATTTTTGACGGAAATTGTTTAAAATCATTCAAAGGATTTTGTTGTCCTGAGCTTAAGTTTGAAAAAATATCTCACCTTTGATCATTTTTCGTAAAGTTATGGAGGTTTAAAGATTGCCATTTTGGCCAATTTGGGACAAACAACGCTTGAGATACTTCGCGCTATTAACGAGTATGCGGAGATTTAATGCGTCTTAGAAATCGTTAGGAGCAAAATCCATCGCTTTGTACTTAATATTGCGTGTGGGGTGTTAATTTTTACAAAAAATCCCAAATTAAAAAAAGTTTTTATTACATTTAGTTTTTTTTTCTTGTTATTACTGCTCCATAGACCTTAAGAGGCAGTTGGAACATTCTTCAGTGCTTCGCCCTGATACGAGCAGTTTTGCTTACTTTACATCCTATACTGGTCTGCTTTATTCTATACGATTCTCATAAATATTGATTGATTTTTCGAAACTTAGATCAATTTAATTTGCCCTAAGTTACATTTTGAATAACTTATTTTTTATATCTCCTCAATCGTTTTTGCAAAGTTTTTACGGTTGATCCATCAAAAACTATACTTTCGGCAAAACTAAACTTTCGGCAACAAA